ACAATAGGTTATAAGGGGGCGCTCCAAACCCCTACACGACCATCTCCCAGGTTCTTAAGTCTTCAAAAGCGTTCCAGTCATTTCTCTGTTCTACCAAGCTACCTGTTCTGAAGAAGTGGGCCATCCATTAAGTCCAGCGAGTTGTTATTCACGGCTCCCTTCCTTTGCCTTGAAATTAATTTCTTTGTCAGGAGGCATGTTGTAAGAAATGCCATGGAGATTAAGAAATTGATCTGTAAAGCCATGACTAATGGGGCTGTCTGATGCATTGACTAGAAGAAAGACAAATCTGGGTCTGCATCAGTGTTCCAGTTTTTTTTTTAAACTCAATTTTCTCTCGTTTCTCAAATATCCCACACACGCACGTACGCGCGCACACACACACACACCCTCCCTTTGGCTAGAGTTTCATCAATCCAGTCCAATCTGAATTCTTCTCTTTCATTTAACAAAACAGCAAAATGGATCTCATTAAGCTCATAGTTAAGATTGTGCTTTCACTACATCCATCGAGTATTTCTCATACATCATCTTAACTTACAGGTAAGAAGTTTATCTGGCACAACATTTCCTAGGAAAGAGTATCATAGATAAGAAGCCATCGCAGTTCCTTAACTTTCCTTTCTTAGAAGTATTTGAAGCCAATGGCTGCTCCATTCTCTTTAAACACTTTTCTTTTTTGGATTCCATCTTGCCCTCACTTAATCCTTAACCAAATTATTCTTAATTTGAGTTATTATTTATTTCTATTCTAGGGTTTTCATTCGACTCTTGAATTATTTCCATGCGTTGACATTCTTTATATTTTTTTTCTCTTCACTTAAACACACTAACCATTTTTGTTTTAAATTTCCTGTCCGATATCATCACTATCTGAAAGCATTTGCAACTCATTTTTCTTTTTATTAATATAATTTATTGTCAGATTGGCTTACATACAACACCCAGTGCTCATCCCAGCGAGAAGCTCATTTTTTCTCAATTTGGCTTGTCACTTGGTGTTTTGCCAGTTAGCTTTTTTCTTTTTTTTTTTTTTTTTTTAAGGATGCCTCATATTTTTTTTTTATTAAATGCCAGATATCGTATGCAAAACCAGCAGAGATTATGAATATTTTTTTTTATTAAAAGGTGGGTTTTGGGGCGCCTGGGTGGCACACGGTTGTCGGCCCCTGACTCCCCTCAGCCAGGTCACTCCATCTCATGGTCTGCAGTTCTGTTCCCTGTCAGGGTTCTCCGGGCTGATGGCTCCTGGGCCTGGAGAGCCTGCTCTGGCCTCCCACTCTCTCTCTGCCCCTCCCCCCCATTCATGTTTTCATGGTCTCTGTCCCAAAAATAAATAAATGTTGAAAAAAAAATTTAAAAAAGGTGGGTTTTGTTTCCTGTTTTCCTAGCAGGCAGGTACAATAGAACCAGTAAGCCTTAATCGGTTGGAGTCCCTCAAGTTCTGTCTTGTTGGTTCTTTTTATAAATTTTGTTCAACCTTTATAGTGATCATGTGATACCAGCCAAGGTTCTATGGCCAGAACCTGAGATCTCCTGGTTGCTCACTGTGTCAAACCTACTGAACACATGTATAAGAGCTAGTGGCCAAGCAATACATCTACTCCGTTTTTTTTCCGAAACGACCCATACTAGGGACAGTATCACAGATGCATTAGCGGTGACCGTACTTCCCTGTCACCTGTTACACTATAGGGTCATGCACAGGAATCCGGCAGGTCTGGACGTGTCAGACTGCAGGTGGGAGATTTCTGACGCTGCGCACGGTTGTTACAGGTGCAAGGCTGGGGAATCCTCAGCCCCGCTGCGGGAGCCAATGCAATTAGCTAAGAAATTTGGTCACGATGTTATGACATCGTGGTCAAGACGTCTCTGACGCTGCTGCCTCAGTATGTTCACCACAGAAACCGCCAGCTCACTCCTTACGTCTGTAACTGGAAGAGGTGTCGTGATTCCTCCCGCCACCCACATGGACTGTCTTAATCACTCGACCTTAGCCGGTTAACTCTGCAGACTCGCGGGAGCCAAAACGGAAGCAAATCCGTATTGGAGGAGGCAATGCTTTCCTCTCCTTCTTGTCCTGACTCTAAAGGGTGGCTGACGTTTATTCCACCGCAGCTGAGCAAACATTTCAACCTGGAAAGGCTGCGAGGCTGGATCACTGGGACTGGCAGCCAGCCCCTGGAGGGGAAGACTCAGTTTCACTTAGTGTGCAGAAAGCTGGAAAGGGCGTCACTCCTGCTGTCACAACAGCGTCCGTCTGGATGGTCTGCAAAATGCATAACTTCCCTGAAACCCCTCGGAGACCTGAGGTCAAGGGCGGACAGCTAAGCTAAACTTCTAAGAGGCAGGGCTTACTTACTTGGGGCAAACACTCAACTCGTCTAAGCTGATGTAAAGAATGAAGCTAAAGTTGTTAACAAGTTGCCTAAGAGTGTGGGTTTCTATGATTGCCTCAAGACACCAGGGTATGTCATAGCCACGTGCAGGTACTTTACAGACCTCACCAGATGCCGGAACTTTGAGGACGGTTCGGGCAACATTAGACGGTTTCCTTTATGTTGAAAGGTCGGGGGGAGGTGAACAGCCAGTCCCCGTACAAAAGACGTGAAGTCCCATCTGGAAATGTCTCCCCTGCGGAACAAAAGCGTCCCTCTCAGGCCACAAACGGACTAGGTGCAGCTCAAACTGAGACAAATGTGTCTATCCTCCCGGGAGGGGGCGGGAACTGGAAAGAATCCTGATAGTATTCACACCCGCTTCTAGACTTACCCTGCTAAATGACGCTCTAGGCTCTTAGTTACTGACAGTGGCTGCTTGTTTGACACCCAGTCTGTCTCACTTCCCGTTTCTTCAGTGTTTCTCTCACCTTCCAGAAAACACAGCCTGCGCCAGCTTCTTCGGGTCTCCTGTTGCCTTTTTCCGTTGTCCCTTTCTCACACCCTTTCCCCCTTTGAAAGGGCAGCAGCGCATCTTTCTCGCATAGTCCTCGCCTATCCCCAGTCGCTGGGTTGTGTCCCTATGTGAGGGTTCCCAGAGAGCTGTAAGAAGGGGATCAGGAAAAGCCCCACACCAAGCCCTGGAGCACCGACCCATTTCAAAGGTGAGAAAAATCGTTGAGCCCTGAATAGGGATGCCCGAAAAAAGGCAAGACCTCTAGTGCAATCTGAAATTCAGCCCCGAAATGGTTTATTTATGTCGCGTGCAGTGCTTTCATTTGTTGTGTTTGTCATATTTGTTGTTGATCTGAAATTCAAATTTGACCGGGAATCCTGTATTTTCATTTGCTACGTCTGGGCACCCCTCCGTAAGCGGGGTGGCGAGAAAAATGGAGACAGGCATGTAGAGGTTGTAAACGTTCTTTCAGTGAGAAGGAAGGTTTATCCTGACCACTCGCCCTACGGTATGTTCTCCCTACACCCCTGCACACACTTATCAGTCGACCTATCCAATACCCGAGCGCATGTTTTTTCATGGTATTTACCGAATACCTAGGTGTCCAATTAATATTTTCCGAGTCACTGAAAGGCATCCAGAAATTACTGTGCTTTGTTTTGGTTTGGTTTGTTTTGTTTTAATGGAATGGCTTCTTGCTACTTTAGGCTCTGCCCTTCACAAGTCACAGAAAGCTTACTGAATGAGGGAGCCCCACAGCCACTGAGGTGTCTGCCCAGTCAGTTTTCCAGGAAAAGAAACTATGTAGCATGAACCTCTAAACCCAGCCTGTCACAACAAGTGGAATAAAAGAGCGCAAAATCGAACCTTGCATACTTCTGTACCAGAGAGCTTTATCCGGTAGTGAACCTCTCTACCTTCGCTTACGTCTCAAGACAACTGGGGACCTGGTGGGGGACAAGCACTCCACAACTGCAGCGCAGAATTTGCTGGAGAGGAGACTGGCCAAGGGAATCTTGCCAGGCAACAGGCTGAAGCCTAGACCGTATTCGGATCATTACTCAGGAGACACTGGTCAAGCTCGTTGCCTGGAAATACTCTTTGCCAATCTCACCCTAGCACCTGTTGCAACACCGTCTTCTTGGTTCCCACACCCCAAAGCAGGTGGATTCCACATTTCGCGAAATGTTGCCTTGAGTAATATAATTGCTTTCTCCTTTCTACTTGGTATCCGAAACGTCGAAATGCTCATTGGAAAGTAGCTCCGCTCAACACCCAGGACTGTAAACATGAGCGAAATGAGGAAAAAAGGTTTAGAGGATACGGTACGTTCTGAAAAATCTGAAAACACTTCCTTAAGGGAGAGTTAATGAACTAAACAGAAGAAAAACTCAGCCATGAGATTCCAGGAAAACACTGTGTGTATTTCAAACGTAATTTGTACGGCTGGGATATTTTCTTACGGGTCTGTCGGCCTTCCCTCCCGCCTACCAGGAACTGATCACCAAGTTTATCGTCAAGGAGGAACCGTAAACCTGCAACCTTCAGCTACGTTCATGAAAATGGGAAGAATGTACAGACAGGGATCAGAGGCTAGGAAAACAGATGAATCTGGTGTTTTGTAAGAACTGTAGCTCTGCGTGTGTGCACAGAAATGAACTTCAGTCTTTCATTGCATAAAACTCTCGGAGACTTTTCTCCCCCCGCACCTGAACAGTTTGGGGTCAGTCTCGTAGCTTTTGTGGTTCTTTTCAGAAATCGTTAAGAGTCTCATTTGAGAAATTATTATGTCCAGCAGAATCTCCAAACTCCAAACTCTTCTATTCAAACTTAAATGTAAACCTCATGTTAAAAACACTATTCTCCTCTGCCTGGGTGGCTCCGTCGGCCAAGCATCCAACTTCAGTTCAGGTCGTGATCTCACAGTTCGTGGGTTCGAGCCCCACAGTGGGCTCTGTGCTGACAGATCCTTTGGATTTTCTGTCTCCATCTCTCTCTACCCCTCTCCCGCTCACACTCTGTCTCTCAAAAATAAATAAACATTAATTTTTTTTAAGCGCAGTCTTCCTCCAGCCTATACCACTTCAGACCTGGTAGCCCACAGGAGATGGGATGGGCTGTGTGTTTCCAACCTCACATGGTGGAAGAGAAAACTGAAGAAGCACAGATGTGTGCTGCTCAGAGCTACCTTACTGAGTGATTCCGTGGGTTTTTCAGAAATCACCGTATCCACCTGCTGCTTACTTCCTGTCAGAGACTTTTCTGCCTCACCTTTTGGAGTTTTATGGATTCTCATTTATGAGGGTTTCAGTGCCTACAGTCCTCTTCGGTACCATTCTAAACATATTTGTGGCCAAATACACATAATAGAAAATTTCCCATCTTAACTGTTTTGAAATATGTAGTTTAGTACTGGTAAGAGCATTCACACCATTTTGCAACCAGTCTGCAGAACCTTTTTCATGTTGCAAAACAGAAACCTTAAACGCCTTAAATAACAACTTTGCACTTCCTCCTCCCCGCCCCCCTCAGTCCCTGGCAACGACCATTCTACTTTGGTCTCTATGAATTAAACTACTCTACATACCGTATACAAGTGGAATCATACACTGTTTGTTTTTCTGTGGCTGGCTTATTTCACTTAGCATTATGTCCCCAAGTTTCATCTACGTTGTCAGAATCTTCTGCTTTTTCGAAGCTGGGGAATATCCCATGGTAGGTATATGTCACATTTCATTCATTCATCCATCGATGGATCCTTGGGATGCTTTCACATCGTGGCTATTGGGAATAGTGCTATTATGAACATGGGGTTTACAAACATCTCTTCAAAATCCTGCTTTTAATTCTTTGAGAGTATATAGCCAGAAATAGAATTGCTGATTCAGATAATAATTCAATGTTTAATGTTTTGAGGCACCACCCTATTGTTTTCCCTAGTAGCTGCACCATTTTATACCCCCACCAATACTTACCATAGTGCATACATTGTTGTAATGCATCTTTAATGTGCCCTAATCATCAGATAAGTAGACAAAAATAAGCATAGATAGGAAATACACACGTGCGCGCGCGCGCACACACACACACACACACACTCCATTATGGGAACTCTACCCCCATTATCTCATCTAAACCCAATTACCTCTCAGAAGCCTCATCTCCTAATACCATCACATTGAGGGGGTAGGGTTTCACCATATGAATTTTGTAAGTACACATTTAGTCCATAACATAGGTATAAAGTGTATATGTACATAATGTGTGTGTGTGTATATATATATATATATGTATGTATATATCCATATACATATATACATATATACATATACATATACATATACATATACATATATACATATATGTATATGGATATATACATACATATATATATATATATATAATGTGGGTGTGTATGTGTATATATTTTTATTTTTATATGTACCTTTACAAGATAATGTATGTATGTGTTAAGGGTGATTGTACATTACTTTTTACGGTCTGATAGGCACAAAATTCATCTATCATGGTTGAGTTAAATAACACCATGTTCTAGCTACATGTTTCAAATTTTAGTTTTCCAGTATAGTTATGCATATTTATAATATATGCATGGTATATTTAGTCTAATTGTATAAAGTACAAACTTCACTGCTAGTCTTTCAGCCTGCAAATCACAATGTATAAAGTAGATATGCATGGTGATCAATGACCAATCATGTAATGTCCTTGTAAGTCTGTCAATGACTAATGAATGTGCATCTGTCTTTAGTTAGCACCTAGACAATTAAGTGTCATGTTACGTTACCACTTCATCTCATAATGATAAACTCATGTGATATCTTACAAAAATAAATAAGCAAAAGAGGGAACTGGTCAAAAATCATTAAAATGTAGCCAAGAAACAAAAAGTGATAGTGCTGAATGAAAGCCAAAGTCAAGTCGAAAACAGAAAGTCGAATAGTTGATCTTTCTGAAAACAGAAAGAAATAGTTGATCATGAGCATATTAATACTTCCACTTTTGGAGACACTCTAGACATGCAGTCAGAGGAATTTTGTTCCAGATGAAAAAAAAAAAAAAGAAAGAAATGTGGAAAGCCCATACTTAGAAGTATGAAAGTTTAAGAAAGCATACAAAAGATGCTTGGACCATGTTATCGGTTACAAAGCAAGAAGGCAAGAATGTTCAACTTTTGTTTTAATGCAAAACTTTTTTTTTTAATTTTGTTTTTTAATTTAAAAAAGTGTATTGAGGTATAGTGGGCATACAATATTGTATTAGTTTCACGTATACAATAGAGGGATTTGACAATTCTATAAATTATCCAGTGCTCACCACGACACGTGTAATTATCATCTGTCACCATATCATTATAATATTATTGACCATATTCCCTATGCTGTACTTTTCATCCCTGTGACTTATTTATTT